TGTTAGATAATTCAGGGGTACTTTAAGTAATTAATCTTATTTTAATTTATTAAATAAAACATTTATTCATTCTCACATGTTTCGTATGTACTCGAGTTCAAAACAAGTGGTGCGTTTTTATTGAGACGAGATGGTGTATTGGTGTTAACACTTGCAAATAACATGGACAAGAAAATAAGAAAGTCAAACTAAAAAATAGGTTTTGTGGGTTTCAAACACCAAATAAATTTCACTGGAAACACAAACAAGTAGGAAAAATGCCCAATCAATGGTGAGCTCAATTGCCAATATTGTCTAGTAAAACATATGGAAAATTTAAAAAGTTAATGAATAAATAAGAAATAATGCAATAAACAAGATAAGGATTTTGATAAGGTTGCAACTTGGGCCGGGTTGGCCCAAGACCAACTCAAACCCAACCCAAAAAAGTCAGGTTAGGTTGATGCTCAGGTTAGGGTTGATATTCATAAATCCTACTTTACTTTGTGTTAGGTTAGGGTTGACCCCTTGGCCAACTCGAACCTGACTCTATAGTACATGTCATATATAAATATATTATATATGATATATCATACATTAATTTGCTTAGACGCATGCTAGTTGTATAGCCCCAACTTAAAAAAAAAAACATCAACAAACAATTACTGATAAAATATATATAGGATTAATATATGTAGTAAAATTGAATTAAGAATTGAGATTGAGAAATTCTATGAGATTTTTAGGGGATGGGAAGAAGGTTGGGTTCAGCCAAACCCAAAGTTGAGTTGGGTTGGGTTATGGTTGAAGGAATTTAGTTAAAATTGAAAAAGTCAGATTGGGTGTTTAGAACCTAGGGTTGGACTAGGGTTAGATGAGATTGGGTGTTTTGGCCTAATTTCATACAAAATGTCCAATACACCCCTGGTTTCATGTGTGCCATAAAACACACATGTTCATTTTACTCTAAAAAGCACACTAAGAATCATTGAGCTCTGGAATCCCAATTCTCAAAACCTAATTTTTTTTTTTTCACTTCTAAGAATTGGCTCCCAAGGCAGAGAATGAAGAAATTAAGAGTCCAGATCACTTGCCAACAAAACACGAGTTCGCATCTATGCCCCACAGCACATCCCCACCTTGTATTGGGAACATCTTCTGATAACAAGTATGACAGATGATGAGACATCATCGGGAGATATTCTCAATACAAAGTGGGGATGTGTTGTGGGGCATTGTGGGGCGCAGATGTGAACTCACAAAACACGTTCCAACCCTCTATCAGCATAATCTCGCACCACACATCTTATACATGGCGGGTCCCAGTCTCATAGTGAGATGTATGGTGTTAGATCAAGTTGGTAGAGGGTTGGAACATGTTTTGTTGGCAGAAAATCTGAACTCCGGAATTACTTATACAAACACCATTCTACATCCCCGTCGTGTATTTGGAACATCTCCCAATGATGACATCATCATTTATGGTATTATTATCGGGAGATGTTCTCAATACATGGCGGGGATGTGCTGTGGGACGTTGTGGGGGGCAATCTTGTGGCAGGCTGATTTGATCTCGGGCGGTGTTAATGGGCTGGGGAGATGCCAAAGCGCCCTCATTAGTAGATCCCATGGACCACGACTCACCAAGATCAATACTTCTTTGCCTGTCTCTCCTATGGCCATGCGTCCTATCTAGTTATTTCCTTTTGGCTTAGTTTGGAAGGAGTACAAATACAAATATGTAAAATGCAAATACATACAAAATAATACAAAATACATGGATTTGCGCTCTAAATATTTGTATTTGTACTCCTTCCAAATTGAGCATCTAGTCTTTATTTTTGTTTTTGTTCTAGACATTGTTTTTTTAGGAAATAGTTTGTTCTCTTTTGATGGGCATGAAAATTGTGATACACATGTCAAGATTGGTTGTAAGTTTTTTAGGTATCATGTATTTCTGGTATCACAGTCAAATCCTTTATCAATTACAATGTAGGGTAAATTGTTGAAACCTCCCCTAAAGCAACCTTTTTGAACCATCGTTGACTCAGTTGGTCAGACCGTTCGGACCAAAAACCAGCCACTCGAACAGTTCTGGTTTTACCTTGAAACGTCATCTATCCCAAAACCATTGAAATTGTCAAAAAGCCGTTAACCCGGATGGTCGAGGCATCGACCCATTCGACCCGGTCAACAGTTTGTAGTTTGGCAATTGTATTTATTTTGATTTATTTTTTTTATATAAAAATAAAACAAAAAAGAAAATGACAAACATATCCCAACTTCTAAACATTTGATGGTTCCTCTCTATAGGGTTTTGTTTTGCCAAAACTGAAAACACAACATCTTCACCAGCTTCATTGAAGAATACAACGGTGGCACACCGACACCTACCTTCTAGAAGTCTGAACAACCACCCACCGGTGACCAAGATTTGCAACGGCAGCCGGTGAACACAGTGGAACACTCTATTCCCGAACATCTCTGATCTCTTGAAAGGAACAATATCTCTTGAAGAGAATGGTGGCGATCACTGTGGACATCCAACCTTTGGTGACCAATCTTCGCTGCGACTGCCTGTGACCACTCAAGAAGGAGTACAACGGTGACTATAAGGTAAAAAACTTGCATGTGATTGTTTTTTTTTTTCTCTCATTTGATCTATGTTTTCCAGGAACCACCAATCTCTGTGCATTAAGCCATTAACTCATTTCCTTTTTTTTTGCAATACTACGATTTCTTGCATCAGGAACAACCATTTGCATTGGCGACCACTCCATTGGAGCCAAGAACCACTGTATTTTTTTGGTATTTCTTGCAATACTATGATTTCTTTTTCCTATATTTTTCTGTGTATTTTCTATATTTTATTTAATTTTACGATATTTTTATTATATATATATATTTTGTTTTTTTTTTTTAATTTATTTTTGACGTCATGTGTCGAACCGTTTGACCCAAACGATTGAACTACCAAACTGGAAAACGATGCCCCGAATGGTTCTGTTTCCGGGTTGGAATTTAAAACCTTGCCCTAAAGCTTTTGACCATTGCTAAAACCTCCTTTGAGGTTTGATAATTGTAATCACCTCCCTTGTACTTTTTGACACGGTTGCAAGTAGACGTATAGACGTAGAGGTGTAAATCAGGCCATGCCGCTTGACCCAACACAATTTTGAACCGATACAGCATGGTACGACCGAGCGAGCTGTGCGGCCCGTGGCCTAGCCCAACACGACCCAATATATATTTATATATGTTATATATAATATATATAATATGTATATATATTATATTATATATAATAATTATATAATATATTAATATATGTAATTTTATTTTCAATTATATTATATTATATTATATTATTTTATTATTGCATATATAAACAATTGTATACAATAAAATTCATATAAAATAAAATTTTAAGATCTTTTTTATATTTTTATCTATTTTTAATTTATGTTAAAATTTTTGTTATTTTTTTTAATTTTTAAAAAGTATGGCTTGGCTTGGTCTGTGGCCCAGCCTGGCCCAAGGTTTAGCCCGTGGACCAGCTTGGCCCATAGCACGGCACAGCCCTGTACAGTCTTGGGCCGTGGACTATGCCGGGCCGACCCCCTAAAGTATCCCAAGGGAGGGAAGCATGGCCCAACTTGACCTGCGGGCCGGCACAACACAGCCTGCACTTTGCACGGGCTGCACACGGGCTATGCCATGCCGGCCCAACACGACCCGATTAACACCTCTAAGTAAACCTCCTTCTAACAAGAGGCATGAAAATGTCCAAAACACCAATACAATTAATTTTAATCAGAATGTTTATTTTGCCAAAATTTCTCTTTATATCAATCATTATTCCAAACCCTTCCAATATTGTTTTATTTTTCAAATTTGCCTTCATATTAATAAAACCGCAACTTTAAATATTTTTTTATAAAGTTTGTATATTATTTAATTTCTCTTCAATAATAACTGTATAGGTATTTTAGCCAATTTTATTTGCAACTGTGTCAAAAACTTGAGCGGAAGTGATTACAATTACGGAAGGTTTAAGCAGTGGTCAAAAACTTATATGCTTATATATTCATTCATACGTGTTCTCCTTGGAGTAAGGAGCAAACAAACAACTGTGCTCGTCAAAGTAGGGGAATGAGACCTTCACCAACCATATCTAGGAAGGGAGTGATTTCCTTGGCACGAATGGACCAAAGGACAAACATGGTTCGGTCATGGTTGCAAGTTTAGAACTGTAGACATAATGCAGTTTTGTGGTTGGAGAGGGCACTACAAACCGTTTTTTCTGGTAATGGTTCGCCAATCAGTTAATCTTATTAAAAGTGGAATTTCTATTAAAAACAAAGTAACAATAATAGCAACATCGAATCCTTGGATCGGAGGTGAGCTTCTCAACTCACTTTTCCTCCCAACGAATTTCTTTACGATGATCTTTTATCCTACCATGATTTCTGATTTTTTTTTCTTTTTTGATTCATTTCTTGGTTTCTTTAAATTTCTGGCTTGAATTGCTCTTTCTCAACCCACCTTTCATTCCACAAGAGAGATCATGATCTCGGTTTGGTTCTTCCTACCAAGATCATGATCTTTTATCATACAATATCATCATCTTCTATTCTATCATGGCGACTGGTTTTTTTCTTTAATTAATTTTTTAGCTTCTCTCGTGATTTCTGGTTTGAACTGCTATTTCTTAACACACCTTTCCTTCCACAAGAGAGATCATGATCTTTTATCCTACCATTCATCATCTTTTGTTCTATCATGGTGACTGATTTTTTTTTTCTTTTATTCATTTTCTGGCTTCTCTCGTGATTTCTGGTTTGAATTGCTCTTTCTTGACCCACCTCTCCTCCCACAAGAGAGATTATGGTCTCTATTAGGTTCTTCCTACGAAAATCATGACCATTGATGGTATCATGGTTTCTGATTTTTTTCTATTCATTGCTTGAATTCCTTCGTGATTTCTGGGTTGAACTGCTCTTTCTTTTTGAATTTGAGACATGGCATCAATATCAGTCAAGCAATTAATCGAACAGAATCTCGGAAAAATCCCACTTTTCTTTATCAATGCTGTTCTCGAATTGATATTGATAATAATATTGATTATGGACGGCTTGATTGCTTTTGCTGCCAATGAATTTGCTCGGTTCTTTGAAATGAGAATCCCTTGCTTGTTTTGTACGAGGATTGATCGTCATTTGGTTTCCAGAGATCCTAATTTTTATTACAATGACTCAATATGTGAAGCTCACAGGAAAGATGTTTCCTCCCTTGCATATTGCCATGTTCATCAGAAACTATCTGATACCCGGCGAATGTGTGAGGGTTGCCTCTTTTCTTTTGCCACTGGGAATAAGTCCGACTGTGAGAAATACAGGTCTCTGGTGGGAATCTTGGGTAAAGATCTTGAGTGCTCAATTGAAGATGATAATATAATTCATTTGAGATTGTCACCTAGAGAGAAGATGGATGCTTTACACCAGGTTGATAAAAGCAACATTCATTGGTGTTCTTGTTGCGGGGAACCTCTAAGGATCATGTCCTCATTACAGGGTCTTGTTCAGAGTCTCCCGCCCAATGTGACTACTGCTTTTCCCCAAACTCCAGATCCTACTCCCCGAAGTCCATTATTAATCAAGACCAAAAACGAAGAAACTCGTGGCTCTGATCACTTGCGACAAGTTTCTTTCAAACTAAACACAGAATTAGAGATTCCAGTGCATGAGGAGGGCTCAAGTGCATTAACTCCATATAATCAATGTGAGTATAGAAGATGACTATTCTTTGTCCATGTGATTTTCCATAATGCCATTCATGTTTGTAAATGCAATGCATTTTGTATAACAGGTAGGGAATATGTCAAAATTGGCACTGAGGATCTGAATGAAGATGCATGCAAGACGCCTGCTTTTATCAGAGGAAATAGGCTATTTGGAGTCCCATTGACAGATTCAGCAGCAGCTACCCCAAGGTGGATTCATAGACTTCAAAGGAGGCTTCCAATTGAAAAACTGGAATCAGGTGCAGAGTCCATGGAGGGAAATACTATAAATGACGCAGATAGTGAGGCCATCCTTAATTACCTGAAGAAAGAGGCACACCTGGATCGCAATTCTCTAATAGCTTTATACATGGAACTGGATGAAGAAAGAAATGCTTCTGCAGTTGCTGCAAACCAGGCAATGGCCATGATCACCCGATTGCAGGAAGAGAAGGCAGCAGTGCGGATGGAGGCTTTTCAATACCAGAGAATAATGGATGAACAGGCAGAGTATGATCAAAAGGCCCTACAAGCTATGAAAGATCTACTTAACAAGAGAGAAATGGAAATCAGGGCTTTGAAGGCACAGCTCGAGCTTTACAGAGAGAAGGCAGAACATGGAGTGGCACCTGATATTGCTGCCTGCAAGGCACAAGCGGATGATGCTTACTGTCATCCAGCAACTCGGTCTGATTCATTAGTTAGCACACGTTCAGTGTGGGGTAGCCCTAGACCTATCAATGAAACGGGAAATTATGGGAAAAATGAGCATTACTATGCCCAAAGTAGACTATCACAAGAAGAGATTGCAAGGAAATTTATTAATGAACCTTTGCTAAATTTTGAAGGTGAGAAATTCTATCCTACGGACCAGTTCAAAACATTAGAAAACAAGATTAACTCATCGTCAAGTGATGGGGTTCACCATTTTGTACCTAGCTCCGACATCATTAATCTTAATGAAGAAGACAAAGGTACTGTTTGACTTCATTGGAGTTCTCACATTGTTTTGTTAGGTAGTAATATAATCTGAGGATCAAATGCTTTGCTTTTCTGTGGTGGCAGGAAATGAAAATAATAACATCTTAACCAGAGAAAATATCTCAGATCAATGAGAGGTTAGAGGCCCTTGAGACAGAACAAGAGTTTTTAAAACATTCTTTTAGGTCACTTCAGAAAGATGGTGAGGGGATGCAACTTCTAAAGGAAATAGCTCAACACCTGCAGGAGCATCGACAAAAGTCCTCGGAGGGTGTTTGTACATGAGACTATCTCATTCTATTCATTATTATGGTAAATACTTTATGAGGGACCTATTTTTACTTTTGTTGTTAGGCATTTTATGATATTATTTGACTGAATGGGAAGCACAAAATAGCAAAGAAACCATTAGAAAATGTTAATATCTGCTTCTATCTGATAGAAACTATCAGAGTTGTCTAATTTACTCGAACAAGATTTTGGATGAGTGGTTCTTTCTATATAGAAATGCAAAAAACATGATTGTATATTGTTAATTTTTGCTAACTTGAGAAGAGTGGCAAGACTCTTTCCTTTTCTCCTTGGATGATAAAATGACAATTTGTTATCTGCAGACTACACAATTTTGATTGAGGGTACTAGTGAAGGCATAAATTCAAAGGTTGGCTTGGAAAGAGTCCTTAGAATTATAGGCTGTTGTTTGGTTTGAAAGAAAAGGTAGGGAAACCTGTAAGTTACTACTAAAGATGAAGACAATTTGTTGAGTGTAGTTATCTGTAAGTGACTACTGAAGATGAGAAGGCAAAGAGGGATAAAATGGAAAATGAATGTATTTGTGAAAACTTAAGGGAAGCACCAATTGAAATCAAAATAAAGATGAATGAGAAGCCTTGGTCAAATACATACCGACAAATACATGAATGAGGAGTTCTTAAACATGTGATGTCCATATGTAGAGTAAAAACAAAAGAAGATGATTCATGCCGCTAGCTCAGGACAAAAAGCACTTGGGTTCAGATAGTCGATAAAAAAATAATAGATTGTTCTTTAGCATAAGCTTTGATCTTAAGGTTTGTGCTGCTGGCCTACTTAGGTGGGCTATGTCAAATGATGATTTGTGGATATGCTATTGTTATGTTTTTATAATTTTTGTTGCTTTATAGTTTTCTCAACAGTTGCTTAACATTAATTTTTTAACATAAATCTTGTATTTTTCTGAATTTTCTATTTCATATTATGTATTTTTCTTAAATATTAAAAGTTATAATATAATTTCTTGTAGTGATGGACACTAATTTCCTGTCAACCAATGTGTACTTTCTCAACACAGATAAGATGGGATCCCCAGAGAAGTTAGTACAATTGCAGATGGCTTGCAAATTCTGGGACAGAGCGGGCTTTTTTGTATGGTGACAGCTCTATTCCCATCTAGGTTTTGTAGTGGGTTAACCTGTCTGTCCATATTTTATGAATCGATATTCCATTTTCTCATGTATATATACTCCTGGTTTTTGGCATGTAGTGTATTCTCATTACCCCCTCTCTGTAAAAGATAGTGGAACTGTCCCAATGAGGCATGGTAACCGRATTATTCAGTAAAAGTTAAGTCTTATAGTGCCCATAAATGATACATCAGATTATTCCATAATGAGGAATTAAGGAGTTAATCTCCAAGCTATTTAGTGATTATTAAATTTATTGCTGCTTAATGTGAATGCTTTATGGTCTAGAGCATAGCAGATCAATTTGTATAACGATAAAAAAGAAATAGGATGAAAATGGTATACATAAATACTGTTTCAATTAGAATGAGTTAAGTCAATTAAATGTAATTCCTAACTAAAAATTAAATATACTTTAGACTAATATAAGATAATAAATAAATATCTAATACATTATCAGCAGAATTTTATAATTGTTCTTGTAATTACACCTATGACCTGCCAATAAAATTTCAGGCTTTGCCCCTGTTTCCTGTGATGCACGAGAAAAAAGTTAAATTATTTCTACTGTTTAGCTAATTGATTAATTATACCCTTACTGTTTAATTGTTAAATGATGTCAGTGATTAAAGTATCCATTTTAGGTAATTTTCTCTCTCTCGAAAACAAGAGCTTTTATGAGTTTGAATGCCCGAAAACAGAGACTGAGCACCATCACCATCGTAGGTGATGGCGACTGCTGCAACTTCCGAGCACCATCCTGACCATCAAGCCGGTCTTCTCTCTTTGTCCGTTCACCGTTCACTGAGAATGTTTGAGAATTGAAAACAATTGAGAGAGAGAGATCGCCACTCTTTGTCCGTTCACCGTTCACTCTAGTGAAGGGTTCACCGTTCACCATTCATTGAGAATGTCCGAGAACTGAAAACAATTGATTGATACCTTAGTCAAAACATGCTCTGCTCTACCAACAGGTTTTCGTCGGTGGTAGTTCTCTGTTCACCCGTCAAGAAGACGATGAACAAAGATGAAGAAGACGATGAACAAAGATGAAGATGGAGGAAGGAGAAAAGAGGAAGAAGGAGAAAGAGAAGAAGAAGAAGGGGAGGAGGAGGAGGAAAGAGAGAGGGAAGAGGAGAGAGAGATCGGGGAAGGGACCTGGCCGGAGGTGGAGAGGGTCAATGCCGGTTTGCCGCCATTGCGCCCATTTTCGTTGCAGTAGCGGCGGACCGACTGTGACAAGAGAGAAGAAGGGGAGAGAGAGAGAGAGGCTGGATGTGGAGGGGAAGAACAAGAGAGAGGGAGAGGAAGAACGAAAGAAGAGAGATGAATCTGAGCTGCCGCTGCTAGAAGTTGCAGCGGTAGTTCTCTGTTCATCGTCAAGACAAAGATGAATATGTAGGAAGGAGAATAAGAGGAAGAAGGTGAAAGGGAAGAAGAAGAGGAGGGGGAAAGAAAGAGGGAAAAGGAGAAAGAGAGAGAGATTGGGAAAGGGACTTGGCTGGAGGTGGAGAGGGTCAATGCTGGTTCGTCGCCGCTGCACCCATTTTCGTTGCAGCAGCGGTAGATTGACTATGACAAGAGAGAAGAAGGAGAGAGAGAGGGGGGGGGGGCTGGAGGTGGAGGGGAAGAACGAGAGAAGAGAGATGCATTTGAGCCCTCGCTGCTGGAAGTTGCAGCGGCAGTTCTCTGTTCATCGTCAAGAAGAAGAAGAAGAAGAGGGGGAAAGAGAGAGGGAAGAGGAGAGAGATAGATTAGGTCGGTGATGGGTTTTGGCACTGATAGAATTGTCATTGGTTGTTAAGAGTCGTCATCGCTAGTGAAAATAATTGCTGCTGGCATGGGCTCACCCCCTCTGGTTCGAACTGGGCTCGCTTGGGTCGAAGCTCCAAATTCATGGCAGAGGAAAAGAAGAGGGCCAATTCCTCTTTCTCGTCCGAGGAAAAGAAGGGAGGGCCAACCCCCTTTGTTCCTTCCTCTTTCTCTATGATCAGACCCCCTGAAGTGCACCCTGGAAGACCCCTTGAGGTGAACGGTGAATGGTGAAACCTTCACCAGAGTGAAATCTTCACCGTTCATTGAGAATGAACGGTGAAATCTAAGATTTCCAGCTTCTTCAAGCAGAACTGCTCCTGTCCACCTCGGCTCTATTCCTAGACAGTGGAAAGGTGTACGCGATGCCGAAGTTCAGTTAATCGGAAGCTCAAGTTCTTTGCAGTATGCCAGATAATTCATAACCTTCTAAGCATAAAGAAAAGGGTAATATTGGGTTTTGAAAAAGATTTATAGGCCATGTGGGGTCAGGGTCACATGTGTATGGATTGTGACATTACATTAACGGATCCTAATTGTAGGGTAAAGGTACTCAATTGTCAGAAAATTTAGGGTACTAAAAAACAACAGTTAATCAATATGGTTATAGTTAAACAATTAGCTAAACAGTAGAGATAGTTTAAGCAAATTGCCCTATTTTTAATTTGAGAAATGAACCCCCAAGTTAACACTCAGGGCATTTTCCGAGCCTCATCTCAAGGCATTGCCTTGTAAGTCTTTCAAACATTGATCTTACGTGCTTTCCAATTACTTGCTTTTGATATTTGATCTAACATGTACCTTCATTTTCAGTCCATAGAGACATCTCTGTTATCTCTAGTTGTTGAGTTGACACTAAAATTGTCAATGCACGCATGCAAGCATGAATTCTATGAGCAATTAATCTTTGCAGAAATTCTTTAGTAAGCAAACAAGAAAGAACTTCATGTTTAGCAGAAAAAGTTTTTTTACTTGGAATAAGTATAGTGATGATAGTAGCTAGGAAATTGGAGAAGGATTTGGAGATTCCCTTCCATTCCTCATTCTTACATTAAGCTAATAAGAAAAGAACTCAAAAAAGGGTTATGCTCAGCTAACACTACTTTAGTTCTAATTGGGATGCATGGGAGATTGTTAAGATTCTGGAGAAGGTACAAGGGTGCATAAAAGTATAAAACTTTGTATCTGGCGATTAAAGACTGAAAATGATAAACTCTATCAACTTGCAAGCTCCGAAAATGCTATGACAGTTCAAATGATCATTTTTTTTTCTGAATTGTTGCTTCGTGTAACATTCAGTATATATTTGGCCATTTATTGTTTTAGAATTTATTTGTACAATTCACTTTAAACGTCTTTTATTTTTGATCTCAGATTAATACCTCAAATGCTAGGGTTTTGGGGGAAACGAGAATTTAATGTTTCCTTAAATGCCTCATGCACAAAAATCAAAACATTTTAGTTTTTCTGTATTTATTTGATAAACGATAAAACCAAACAATGGTTTCATATGCTATCACCTCAATTGACTCGTTAATCTTTACTATACAATGATGATACTTGCCATGACCTCATGCCAATATGACAACCTTAAAATATTAGTTCATTGTACCCATCTCTCTCCCTGACGTGCCACTCGATTAGGAATAGGAAAACACTGAAAGTAGAAGTGGGTATGCCACATAGATAATTTACATGCTCTCTTGTTATAGCTGTATAGAAGTTGAGATGCATGTGCAAATCTGGGAAA